AAAAGCAGAAGGAGCTCAGTTGCAGTGACCTGGCCAAAGGTGTGCAGCTCTGCAGCTCCACTGGGCCCCCTGAAAAATGAGTGCTACTGTGCCCTGAGGCTGGTGAAATTATGTCAGGGATAGCATTTCTGGTTGTAGAGAACTGTTGGACTCGGATATCAGGTGATGCATTTCATCGTTTTTAGCTTTTTAGGAACATCCATCCAATTTTCCTCCCCACAGCAGTGAAGCTTTGTCCTCACACCCACAGTCTGGGCAACAAAAAGGGACTTTCACTGAACCCCCTCAGCCTTTGTTCCTCGTGGCTCCCAGACAAATTTTAAGTCAGTTTTAAATCTAAATAATCCTCCCGGTTTCAAAGCTAAGGGTTGTTCCTCTGCAAACCCCTTTCAAGGACTGAAAGGAAAAAGCACAAATATTTTTTCAGTATTTTGCTAGTTCTCACAGTATGTAGCTGGAAGATGGGAGGAGAAGGAATTAACTACACAGGAAGTTAATTGTAGTAATTAGTTGTTGAAGAAGAGAATAGTGTATTAAAGTATCAAAATTTGTCACTTATGTATCATTATGAAACAAAGCATTATATCCTACGAGCAGAAACTTGAAGTGTTAATGAGTCATACAGATAGAAAATGCCAGTTTATTTTGTATCCTTAATATCCCTGGGCTTGAGTGCTAAAATGAAGTGTTAACATCACTTTGTCACTAAATCCCTGTTAGAACTTTCCATTTAAATTTAGATGGATAAAACCCACAAGTGATGTTGTTTTTAAAGATATGTAACTATTAAAAGTGAGGTACATTATTAAAATGGATTTATATTTTTAAAGCAAAGATTAAGGTTGCATCCTCAAAATTTCCTGTTTTTAAAGCTGCACTTTGTGTCCCAGAAGCCCAACCACCTTTCCCCTGTACCCATGGCTCTGACTCAGTGTTTCAAGGAAACCCTTTGCACAGCTAAGAACAAAGAAATATTTTAATGTAATGTCTATCTTGTTCACCTCCTTGCATTGGAGCAGTTTTAAAGCTTTTTTTTTTCTGTGAGGATTTTCACAGTTTTTAATTTTTGTGATGAATCCAATGCACCTACTCACAGTATAACTTCATTCAGGGAAATTGCTTTCAGCAACTCTTTGACTTTAAATATTGGATATTCGTCTAGGAGAAGGTGTCCCTGCCCATGGCAGGAGGTTGGAATGAGATGATCTTTAAGTCCCTTCCAACCCAAACCATCCTGTGATTCTGTGAAATCTCACAGCTTCAGTGGGAATTAATTTAAGCACGTCATTCTTAACAGGTGTGATTTCCTCAACAATATCCTCCTCTAAAAAAGGCCAAAATCTCTCCTCTAAGCCTACATGTAACAGGGAGTAAGAAACTGTGATTACCTGCTCTCCTCTCCTGAATCAACAGCTTTAAAACCCTCTTTCATGTATTGTAGCTTAACAAACCATGAGAAGCTTATCTTGTTATAGAAACCAAAGTGAGGGGAAAAAAAATTTAAGGGAATGCTGTGATCCCTGGCAAGTTTACAAGGGGAACCTGAAGGGATGGGATGTGTAACTTAAAAAAAAAAAAAAAAAAAAGGAAGCCTGTCATTTTAAAGGGCTCATATGAATCTGAAACCTTCAATTATGGTATTAAAACCTCTTCTTCCTTCTTAAAGCTGTTTCTCTTTCCATGGGCAGCCCCAAGGCCTGTCAGGGAGGAGGTTCCCAGGTAGCAGAGCATGGAAGGGGTTGGGAATGGGGGGTTAATGGGTGCCTTGGGCAGCCCCAGCCACTGGAGCAGGGATCAGGCAGGAGTCAAACACTGAGATAAATGGCTTTGGACAAAAACTGAGCGCAAACCAAAACCTGGAGGGGCTAGAAAAAAAAAAAAGATAAGCACAGGATGATTGAAGAATCAATTTATCTCCTTGTCAGCAATGTCTGTGCATCTCAGTGTGGATATAAAACACATTTTTGAACCAACACAGCTTTTATACTGCCTGGAGACACACTTATAGGAAAGGGCATTTTTTCCCCAAACAACTTCCACATGTGATTTTTTGTTTTTTTGATAGTGCTTTTCTTTCAGACACTACAGAGAGGAAAAAGGGGCTGAAGTTGAGCTGTCAGTTCTTTCTGCTCCTGTTTTACATGTTACAAGGTCTGAGCAAGTCCCTTTTACAGAAATCTCACCTAAACACGTGGGCACTGTAAAGAGCTTTTAAATAGCCATTAATTACATTCAAACTGTAGGAAAATTGTCTTAATATAAAGGAGAAGCTCCAGGGTAGAGTTTGAAGACATTTCATAAAATGCTTGATAAAATATATTGATCTTTCACCACACACTTCAAGGCAAAAAATTCCCAGCTAGAAATGAACAGCAAAAAAACTAAGTTTATTTTAAAAGCAGTCTATGCTGATCATCTGCTGTGAAGATGTCAGAAAGCCTCACTAGTGATTAATTGCCTTCACATGGAATGGTTTTGCATTGGCTTTTCTTAGTCTGAAGAAATATTCCTAAGTTCATCTTAACAAAATGATGGAAAATTCACAAGCTTTAAGTGTCTTTGGACTCAGCATGAGCAGCAACACTTTGCAAGCTTAGCTCATAATGAAATTAAATTAAAATAAAAAATAAAATAAAATAAAATAAAATAAGAGTTCTCTCAAAACTTGACAGGTGCAAACGAAGTAAGCTGTTAACAGAGATAGTAGTATGAAATCCTTCAGCAAGCCCAGGAGAAATCACCCTGAAATAAGAAATCTTCCTTTTTCCCATGTGGTTGTACAGGTGATAAGCATTTTCCCTAAAAGAAGGAAAAATATTGCTAATTTGTGTTGCCATTTTGAAAGAAAGATCAGTGAAAAAAACATGTTAATCCTTTTTGGTAGACATGAGTTGGGCTTTTAAATGCTACTGCTGCAGGAAGGATTAGAGTGGTTTTGGTCCCTTCTGCAGCCATATGATGCTGGAGCCAATACCAAGTAGTGTTTTTATTATAATTCATTTTTTCCCCTACTTCATGATACCATTTCTCCTCTGCTATCCCTAGTTTTGCAGTATTTCATTCAGCACTCACTGAAACCGGTTCCCTCCACAAGTTTCCTGCTCTTAGAGGCAGCTCAGAGCGTTGTTCAGAGCAGCTCAGCACCTCAAAGGGCCCCTGAGCAGAGTGGGAAGGACACCTGGGCTTGGCAAAATTGGGTGCCTGCATCCCAGAGAATGGACTGAGTTGGAAGGGACCTTAAAGATCATCCAGTTCCACACCTTCCACTAGCCCAGGTTGCTCCAAGCCCTGTCCAACCTTGGCCTTGGACACTTCCAGGGATGGGGCAGCCACAGCTTCTCTGGGCAACCTGTGCCAGGGCCTCCCCACCCTCACAGGGAAGAAATCCAGAGCTGAATGTCTGGAGCAGGATAAACACCCCGAATTCACACTGGGGGTTCTCTTGTGCCATTTAAGTGGCATTTCTTGCCATCCCAAAAGCAGCAGATCCAGGACCCTCATCAGGGAGATTCAGGGCCTGGATGTCACCCAGGGAGCACACAGAGAGGGGCTGGTGTTGGCCAGAAGCAGCATTTGGTCCCTGGGTGCTCCCAGGGCACTGGGGGAATCAGGACACACCAGGACACCAAAGGAATCAGGACACAATCCCAAGGAAGTAGATACACCAGACAGAGATGATTTGCTACAATTTACAAGACAAGTCATTCACATTCAACTTGCTTCCACTCCATATTTGTCCATGTTTTTTTCTACAGGACTAGAATTGCCTCCTCCTGCAGCATGGAATTCTAGACAAATCCTGAAAAGCATGAGTTTCCTGTTATTTTTTATGTAACAAGTACAGACACCTTGCTTTCCCTTCAGCCCTTGCCCTGCTGACTCCAAGGCAGTGACTGGAATTTGGAAACCTTATTATGTATTGATTTTCCCCACACAGTACAGTTGTAGAAAATTTAATAGTCCCTGTTCTGTCTTGCCAACAAAAAAAATCCTGGGAAGCAATGTTGTCATCCAGTAAAGCACAGGAAAGTCATGGTGCTTAACAAGGATGAATCACATGCAAGTATTGGAGTGGATGGAAAATTGAATCAAAAGTAGAAATAAATTTGATTTATCACATCCTGTTTGCATTTATTATGGGCTCCTCCTAAGTGATAATCACTCTAAAAATAGAGATTTATTGCTTTTGCAACTAGATTTGAATATAACTAAGAGTAAAATATAAGGAATTAAACCCAGTAAAATAATTCACAGACTAATTTCTTAAGAAATGAAACTTCCATCTCTCCTTTTCAGCCACTGTCTGCCTTTCCCTGCCCAGCCAGTGAGCATTGCAAGGACAGACCCCGTGGTTTTTTTGGGAATGTGCCATCAGACTTCTTTTCCATTCCTCCAAGTTAATTCAGCAGACACCCCACAGGCACTGTTTGCACGCAATGAAAATCCCCTTCGCCCCTGTGAGCCAGAGGTCATTCTGCACTGCCAAGCTTTGTCCAGCCCTTTTTGGGAGGAAAATCTGCCAGGGATGGTGAGAGATGAGTGGCTGTTCCTTGTGAAGACAGTTATTGTGTGCTAAGAGTAGAGATGAACCCTCCAACCTGCTTGGCTTCAGACCTAAAGCTGGGCTCAAGCCACGGCCCAAGAATTAAATGTTCAGCACATCACCTGCCAACCACTCACCATGGATTAATCTTGCACTCTGGGCATCACTGCCTGCTCCCAAAAACATGATTTATGAGTGTTTGCCAGCCCCTTCTCTTTCTTATATAGGCCACAGTGTTACTCTAGAGTAAAGAAATCATCAAAACTATCATGCTGGATAAAGGAACAGCCCAGATCCTCATTTCCATGGGTTCATCCTTGAATATTGAACCAAGGCTGATGTTTTCTTGCCAGTGCTGCAGCTTCCCCTGTGACAAGCACAGCATAGAGTGCTGTTATGTTATTATGTTATTTCCTGAGCTTTTCCATAATACATTAATATAAGTCCAATTCTCCAGTGAAATGAACCATGAACACAATTTATTGGTCTCTTTGGGTAGTCCCTCAACTAGTGAAGCCTTTTCAACCCTGCTTACAGTTTATTGTGGGGGAAATGGAGAAAAGATGCTGTTTCCTTGATGCTACACCCATCCCTGCAGAGTTGACACCACAGGAGGCACCAATATGTTCTAAACTCCAGCAAGAGTTATAGGATAGAATCAGAGACTATGCTGAGATGGAAGGGACCCATCAGGATCATCGAGTCCAACTCCTGGCCCTGGATCCCCAAGGATCTCTCCATTGGATTTCTAATGTATCTAAGATCAGGAGATATCAGAAATTACATCTAACTGCAAGAGCATCCTGTGCTCTTACTCATGTTTGACTTCTTGAGCTCACATAGATGTGGAATAACAGTGGCAAGTCATCCAGGGTGTGGGTGGCAGCAGGGGTGTGTGCCACAGACTGCTGGGGCATTGCACACTTAGGGACGCTTCATTTTTTACATCTGATTTAACTCCCCAAGTGAAAAGGCCCAGCTCTTCAGCCCTTCTGCATTTCCAGTGTGGACAGGTTTCCTTGGAGCCTCATCTGAGCTCTTGAGTTGGCTCCTTGTTCTCACCCTCCTGAGGAACCCACCCCAATGAGGCTGTTTCTGGGCTTCCATGGGAATTTGGCCTAAGCAAGGCTGGACCACAGATCCCACCCATCCCAGCATCCCATCACCCTTTTCCACTAAAGCCTTCACTGCCCAATTAGCCCAGAGCCTCATTACCTGATGCAGTTCTTCCCTCAAGCCATGTTTTTTCTTACAGGGATTACAACTTCCCTGCTCCATTTGACTGATTTATTTAAAAAAATCTCCTTTTTTTTCCAACTCACAAAAATAGAATTAGAGAACAACAGGAGCACAAAGAAATACAAATGATGGCCTCCATGTACACATTGAATCATCACCAACAGTCTCTGAAGAAAGGTTCTGGCAATGGAATGGGATCCTTTCACTGAGCTGTCCATGGATTTCCCCAAAGCAGGACCCAGGTGAGCTAAGAAAGGCTGTTCTGGGAAAGCTTGAAGCACCTGCAGCCTCCTGGGGTTCTCATTTTTTGTGTTTTCCTGCATTTCCAGGGTCCTGCAATGGGATATTGTCCCGGGAGAAACAGTCTCAAGGTGAAAATACAGAGCTCGGCTCATAAAGTTGCATCTGGAACTTCGTATCCTGAAGCAGAAGAAAATGTGGGTTGAGTGAAATCATTTCTTGCCCAGCTCTGAGGTTCAGTGTCTTCACTGTGTTTTGGAAAGGCTCCTCTGGCTCTTCCTGTGTAAAAGTGTGTGCCCATGCCTTGGAGAATGAATATCACAGTCCAAAGGCAGCTTGACCCCTCTGATAGAATCCTACTCACTTTAAAAAAGAAACAAGAGTTATAATTTAAATGTCTTCTTACTCGATACCTCTGGAAAATAATAACATGAACAAAGAGATTCTGTCTGAAATATTTTAAAAAGTCTATTCGGAATAGTTTTTGCTTATGTAAAATAGATTTTGCTTATGTAAAAGTGATTTTTTTTCTTGTATGATGCTTTTCTTTCAAAAAGGGAATTAATGAACAATAAATTTATCTACATAAACCTACACAGGATATTGACTGATAAGTTCAGTTTGCTCTTTCCTTCACTCCAGATCTACTGAAGTTGGATATTTGTAAACCAGATACTTTGTAATATACTTTATTACATTTGGGGCCAAGAAAAACTTGGCTTGTACAGCTGAATCTTCACTTCCATCAGGAGCTTGAATCTCTGAAATGCTTTGGGTTTTTAGACAGTTTATGTAGCATTTTTTTGTCAACACGGCCCCATTATAATGCACAAAAAAAATGAATTATACAGGTTTCTATTTGGGGTTATTTTCTTGTAAGAAACAACAATAATATTTTTAGCTTTTTACTTAAGAAAGATGTATTTTGGTCATAAATGAGGAAGAGCCAGGAAGAAACAGAGAGCCAGGAAGGAAAGGCAAGAGTTTATATTTGTTTCTTCAAAAAACAAGAGGAAAACAAAAGCAGGGAGCAGACATCAGGTATTAATAAGGAAAGGGAGGGTTGACCAAAATCCTCTCATTTGAAGTATTAAATAAAAAGCTCAGACCTCACCACCGTGGCTGCAGCCCATTGGTGCCACATTGCATTTTCCCAAAGCTTCCTAAAAAGTGCTTTTATGAGATGCTGTGGATAAATCCGAGGTGTTTTCTATGGCAGCCACAAGCACAGGTGCCTTGGGAAGCCACAGGGTGTGTGAGGGGCTGTGCTGGGGGCAGAGGTCGAGTGGCACCAGAACACCCACACCACAGGCCACCAAGCTCCCCACAGGAGATGGGCAAAGGTATGAGCAGGAAAACCAGCAATTAAGGAGCTCCTCAGCAGGGACCTGGCTTAATTTGAGATGCTTGATTAAATGTGGAATTCTTTGTACAAGTTCTGTCAGCTCCACAGGCTGACACAAAGATGAGCTTGTGTTTTTGGAAAAAAAAAAAAAGGATTTTTATTTAGGAGCACTGCAGGGAATGGAGGGCTGGGTGAGCTTTTTGCCAGCCTCATATTCCCTGGGAGCAGGGGCTGGGGTGACGGAACATCCCTCTGGCTCTGTCATAGAACCAGAGAGTCACAGAATGGTTGGGTTGGAAGGGACCTTAAAGCCCATCCAGTTCCACTCCCTGCAATGGGCAGGGACACCTTCCACTACCCCAGGTTGCTCCAAGCCACATCCAACCTGGCCTTGGACACTTCCAGGGATGGGGCAGCCACAGCTTCTCTGGGCAACCTGTGCCAGGGCCTCACCACCCTCACGCCCAACAATTCTTTCCCAATATCTCATCTATCCCTGCTCTGTGACAGTGTGAAGTCATTTCCCCTTGTCCTGTCCCTCCAGGCCCTTGTCCCAAGTCCCTCTCCAGCTCTCTTGGCACCACTTCAGGCAGTGGAAGGGGCTCTAAGGTGCCCCTGGATCCTTCTCGTCTCCAGGCTGAACAATTCCAGCCCTCTCAGTCTGTCTCTTCGGAGCATCTCCTGGCATATCTGGGACATCCAGGCTTGAAAACCATCACTTACCTTCCTGAACCAAGCCAGGAGGGCTGTGACTGGCAGGGAACTCTGCTTTAATCCTGGCCATGGAAAGGTGAGAAAACCACACTGGACACCTGCATGGCAGGAGGTTAAAGCCTTTCCAAGGTGGTGGGAAGAGACAGTGAAAAAAGGAGGGAAAGCAGCATCCACAGCCAGCCCTGCAGGCAGCACCCACACCTCTCCCGTCCTCCCGCACCTCCCTGTAATTATCGATTTTATATAAAAACTTACATTTAAACGTTACAAAAGTACTCCTCTCTCGTGCCTCAGTGTACCTGGGTGCGCCCGGGGGGCTCCAGTCAGGGCTGGCCCCCGGCGCGGCCATACAGGGTGGCATCGGGGCCAGGGGGACACGCCACCCCCGCGCCCCCGCCGCCGCCCCCGGCCGCCTCCGCCGCTCCGGCCCCCTCCGCCCGCCGCCTCCTCCTCCTCCTGAAATTCCCGTTATCGAACATCTTCTCGCAGTTGGGGTCGAGGGTCCAGTAGTTGCCTTTGCCTGCGGAGAGAGGAGGATCCGTCGGGGCTTCCGCCGTCCGAGGGTGCCCTTCACAGGATCACAGAATCCACGAGGTTGGAAGAGACCTCTGAGATCATCGAGCCCAACCTCTGACCTGACACCACCTTCTCTACTAAACCGTGGCACTGAGTGCCACATCCAACTCACTCCAAGATCGTCGAATACACCCTGTGCCCGATGCTCACCTCGCCACCCAGCCCACAGCGCTGAGTGCCACGTCCAGTCGTTCCTTGGACACCTCCAGGGATGATGACTCCATCACCTCCCTGGGCAATCATCCATCACCTCCCCTTCCAACGTCCAAACACTCTCTTTTGCAAAGAATTTCTTCCTACCTTCTTTCTACCTTCTCTGGCGCAGCTTAAGCCCGTGCCCTCTTGTCCTAAGCCTGTGCCCTCTTGTGCTTACCCGGGTCGTCCTGGTCCCGCGGCACCTTCCTGAAGCAGTCGTTGAGGGAGAGGTTGTGTCGGATGGAGTTCTGCCAGCCGGCCCTGCCGCGCCGGTAGAAGGGGAAGTTCTCCGCCACGAACTGGTAGATCTGGCTGAGGGTGCGGCGGCGGCCAGGCGCGCTGTGCAGGGCCATGGCGATCAGCGCCGAGTACGAGTAGGGCGGCCGGGCCGGGGACAGCGGGGACAGCGGGGACAGCGGGGACATCCCCGGCCACCCCCGGCCCGCGCCCGCGGGGCCCGGCGGCAGCACCGCCCCGGCGGGCGGGCACGGGGAGCAGGGGCCGCCCGGCCACAGGGACGGGCTGGCGGCGGGATGCGCGGGGGGCCGGGGCGCCGGGAAGGGAGCGGAGCATCCCGCGGCATCCAGCAGGTCCCGGGCGAGCGGCGGCGGCGGCGCGGGCGGCCCGAAGGGGTGCATTGTTCGGGGGCAGCGCGGGGCCCGACCGACCCCCGCTTAAGTACCGCCTAAGGACCGCGTAAGGACCGCCCGCCGCCGCCGGACCCCCCGAGGGACCCCCTCCCGCCCCTCCGCCCCAGCACGGCCCGCCCCGCCCCGCACAGCCGGGACGGTGCGGGGGCAGCGGGATCGGAGCACACGGGGGATGGGGAGATGGGGAGGGGGGGGGGTTCCTGGGGAAACGGCGAGGATTTGGGAGTAACAGGCGGGTGGGATCTGAGCACAGGAGGGACGTGCACCTGTTGGAACAAGTCCGGAGGAGGCACCAGGATGATCAGAGGGAGGGAGCAGCTCTGCTGTGAGAGAGAACTTGTATTGTTCAGCCTGGAATAGAGAAGGTTTTGGGGTGACCCAATTGTGGCCCTCCAGGACCTGAAACGAGCCCACAAGAAAGACGGGGAGAAACTACAAGGGGGAATGGCTTCACACTGCCAAAGAGTAGGTTTATATAGGATATTGTGAAGAAATTGTTCCCTGTGAGGATGGTGAGGCCCTGGCACAGGTTGCCCAGAGAACCTGTGGCTGCTCCATCCCTAGAAGTGTTCAAGGCCAGGTTGGATGAGGCTTGGAGCAACCTGGGATAGTGGAAGGTGTAACTGCCTATGGCAAGGGGTGGAACAACATGATCTTAAGATCCCTTCCAACCCAAACTATTCTAGGATTCTGTGATTCTATGAATTTGGGAAAACCAGACCCAGCTGATCCCACCTTCTGTATTCTTCCAATTGAATGAACAAAATCTCATAACCCCAAGAGCCTCATCATGTAGCAAGGAAATTACCAGCAGGTCAGGAAAAGGGATAAAGGTAAGCAAGTACATATGCACGTTGCAAAATTAAAAAGAACCTTTATACCATTGGCAAGGTATTCATCTGAATATCAGTTACTGCAGGCATATTTATAGAAGATCTGCCTTCAAATCTCAAAAGTGTGAGGGGCAACATTCCTTCCATTTCAATGAAAATAACTCAGGAAACAACCTGACCCCTAATATTAAAGTTATTTAATTTCCCTGCTGTCAGTGATTACCTGGAGATATCCAACAGCAAATTGACCTCCAGGTATCACCAGCATGGCTGCCTGTGGATGTTGCTGTTTTGTTTTCCATGGCATTGCTTGTCTGTGTGTCAGGGAAAGGTGTAACTTGTGTTTGTATCCATCATGTTGAAGCAGAGCAGCAGAGTGATACTATTTGTATTAGTCTAGTGCCTCGTGGCAAACTTCATGTGGGTTGGCTGAATTTTTGTGTAAGTTGTAGACATCTACCATGCAAACAAGAGGATTTGTTTCATATATTTTCCAAACATACCAATTTACAAGCCCACAGAGAGCTCATTAAATTGTCCCCTTCTCAGCTGAGCTGACACCCGAGGACACAAAACCACATATTTATTAATGCTGACTTCTTTTTGCTTTGCAGGAAACCTTTTACTAGGAAGCAGCAATCCCTGGTAAACACCCAAACATAATTTAACTCCTTGATGATATTCTAACCCACAGAAAAAATACTTCTTATTAAAGAATGTGAGGCTTTTTACAACCTTTTTTTCCATTTCTTTAGCATTTCACCTGGATTGACAGGGTGAGGAGCGTGTCAAGGGAGCATGAGGGGAGAACTCATCGCAGTTACAACTTCCTCGGGAGGGGCAGAGGAAGGACAGGAACTGAGCTCTGGTCTGTAGGGACCAGGGACAGGACCCAGGGAATGGTCTCAAGTTGTGTCAGGGCAGGTTTACGTTGGATCTCAGAAAAAGGTTCTTCCCCCAGAGGGTGATTGGGCACTAAACAGGCTCCCCAGGGCAGTGGGCACAGCACCAAGGCTGCCAGAGCTCAAGGAGTGTTTGGATGATGGTCTCAGGCACATGGTGTGACTCTTGGGGAGGGTCCTGTGCAGGGCTAAGGGTCGGACTCGATGATCCTTGTGGGTCCCTTCCAACTCGGGATATTCTGTGATTCTGGGCACAAGCTCTGTTGTAGCTTTGGCAAGTCTCTGATACACTTTTTAAACGCTGCAGTCGCTTAACGGGACCTTTTCCAGCAGCTTTTCCATCCTCGCATCCTTCATCTCTCGGGCGACGCGCTCGTTCCCAGCGACGCCCGACAAAAAGCACGAGTCGTCTGAGGAGCGGGATTGGGAGCTCCGGGAGCGCCGCTGATTTATCCCGGCGTCATTCCCAGGGAAAAGCAGGCGGGTTTGGTCAATCGTGGGCCGGCGATGCCATCTAGTGGCACCGGGACCGGCTCCGGGAGCTGCGGGGTGTCCGCCCCCCTCCTCCTCCTGCGGGCACCCATCTCGCCCTTCTGTGCCATAAAGCCCAAAAATTGGGGTGCGTTAGCGAGCCAGCAGGAAAGACAGGCGGATTTCTAACCGATATTGGCTTGGAAGGGACCTTAAAGCCCATCCAGTCCCACCCCCTGCCATGGGCAGGGACACCTTCCACTAGCCCAGGTTGCTCCAAGTCCCGTCCAACCTGGCCTTGGACACTTCCAGGGATGGGGCAGCCACAGCTTCTCTGGGCAACCTGTGCCAGGGCCTCCCCACCCTCACAGGAAGGATTTCTTCCCAATATCCCATCTACCTGTCAGTTCCAAGCCATTCCCATTTGTCCTGTCCCTACACGTCCTTGTCAAAAGTCTCTCCAGCTTTCAATTATTTATCTCCAGCCTCTATTATTTATCACTACAAGTCTATCTGAGACCTTACATTTTTTGAAAATGTCCTGGCAAAGAAAAAGAATTCCAGGCAGCACAGTTCCTCCTCATGGCACCATCCCTCATGGATTAACTCCTCTGCATCGTGGGAATAAATTCCCTGTTTATTCCTCTACTCAAAATAGTTACAGTAAACCTGAAGGAGTGGAGTTTACAGAGGCTGGTTGGGAGATTTAAATACAATAATTCACCTCAACAAAGCCTTCAATACTTTCCTGATGAAGCTGATTGACATGTGGGTGTTTTGCACCAAAAGTGTCACTTTGATTTCTCTGGAAATACCAGATGTTGGAATAAACTCCTCTCATTTCAAATAAGAAGTGGAGAGAGTGAAATACAAACACATGATGAGAAGGAGCAACCAAGTCATCTAAAATGAAGCATCCAGAGTTTATCAAAACAGAAAGAAAACATCATAAATAGAAATCTGAGTATTATTTTGACTTCAATACAACCATGCTTACTTGGTATAATAATTATTAGTAAATAAATAAATATTAGCTACAGCTTTCAGGTCAATAATGACAATAATTAGGTAACAAATGGATATTTTCCAGGTCAATCAGTCTGTGGCAATTAATCAAATTAGTTATAAAATTAGAATTCATATAAAGTCAGCAATTATGGTTTAATCCTGAAATAATGCTCTTCAAAAGAAGCCAATAAGACAGACAAATCCATAGGTTTGCCATATTTAAATTTCACACTGTATTCTCATTTATTTTGATATCTAACTCCTGACAGGTGAGGGAGCCCCTTTTCATGACCCTGAGTTAAGAATGGCTTCAAGAAGAGAAATGTTACATACATATTTCAGCCTTTTGTGTCTCAAAATAATAGAATTTGCATAGACCAAAGGTTTTGGCATTGAATTTAAATCCTTAGGTGTTGTGTTCGGATTATTTGAATTCATATTCTTTACATGGCTAAATTGTTTCATTTATATGCTCTTCTGATTGCTCATGAGCATTTATGGCTTGGATTTCATCCTATTTTTTTTCCTACCTTTATCAAAGTTTGCCTTTTGACATTCAACGCAATCAGTTCATTTTCTTCCTGCCCATCCATCAACAAAAGCTGTAAGAGCAATTCTTATTTAATGAAAAGCTTTGAAACTCTATAGTGTTCTTTTAGAAACTTCTAATAAGTTTCTAATTTATTTTTAAAAAAAAATACGAAAACTAAGCTTTTCTCTTCCATTTATTGAAAAAAAACAGCAAGTAATTTAGATTTCACTTGCTTGCCTTGGATGGAGAAGAGACATTACAGTTACATTGTAACTTTGTATCAGTGCTCATGTTCTGCAATTATTGGGAATTTAGGGTGAAAGAGGCTCCTCCCTGGTCTTCCATAGACTTTACCACCCAAGGCTTTTCAAAGTTAGGTTGGATATCAGGAAAAATTTATTCACTGGAAGGGTTCTCAAACACTGCCCATGGAAATCACCCTGCCTGGAGGGATTTAACAGACATGCGGATGTGGCACTTGAGGACATTAAAGCCTTGGAAGTGCTTTAATGGTTGGATTCGATGCTCTTTTCCAACCTAAACGATTCCATGGTTCTAAACACAGAAGGTTTTAGCATCAGCAAATGTTAAATTATAAAACTCACTAGAACAGCTCAGATATTTACCACATATAAGTGATTTAATCTCCTAATTCCACCCCCCTGCCATGGGCAGGGCCACCTTCCACTACTCCGGGTTGCTCACAAATGGTCTGCAGGAAATTTCTCATATTTCAGTTCATATTAAATACCTAAAGCCCTTTTCTATTTTTTACCAGCAGATGTAGAAATTAGTTTTGAAAACAGCAAAGGGGCTGCAACTACAGAAAATTAACTTTTGGGCAAGTGATGAGCACAGAAAAGAGAAGACATGGCCTGTAGCAACAAAGACTGCATATAACACCCATCTATCTTCTTAAATGAGTGTGTTTAATTCCTCAGTAAGCAGCTCCTTCTTTTCTCAGCTGAGAAAGAATTAATCTCTGCTTAAGAAAACGAGGACTTCATTAAAAAAAAAAAAATTAAAAAACGAGGAGCCACCAGCAATATTTTGTTTTAACATTTCTTAAGTTTACCAAAGACATATATAAATTGTCCCTTATAAATTTATAAGCTGCACATACAAACTGATGCTTTTATATAAAAAAATAGAGCTTAGTTTTGCCCCTTTCTGGGTAAAATATTCCAGCTTGACAAGCACAAGCACAAAATAGTATTAATATCCTCACACCATGACAAGATC